AGTGGAGTTTGATTTAGAGTTTCTTTCTCCGATCGGATGAAATTTGTGTGTCTGGTTGCGGCCAAACGGGGTTTTGTGATAATATGTCGGTTTAAGACGCGATTAATCTCGTTTATTGTCTATTCGAGATCGAATTTGTTTTCCCCTTAGCGTAGATGTTGTAGTGCCGGTACGATGGATGGGCTGATTTTGGAGGGCTTTGATTGTTTGAGCCCACGTTGTTGTTGTTTTTATCCTTGATCATCCGTGTCGACATTTGTGGAGTTCCCTGTTTCTATCTGTTGTCGAGTAGCTATCAATCTCGATAGATTATCGTAGAAAGTATGGTAAATTTGACCCATTTTGCATTTTGGACTTCGACTCAATCGTTCAGGGTGGGGATTATGGGCTGAAGAGAGTAAAGGTGGATCAAGAGATTGAACAAATCTGTGGTGAACCGATGCAGGTTGACCAAAATGATACTGACCTAGAGCAGAATCCAGCCGGTACATTGCAAGAAAATGTCGCGGGGACGTCGAATGATCCTGCTGCAGCAGAAAAGTCAACCTACGAACAGCTTCCGGATGCAATGCAAGAAACGAGAACCAGAGATGAGCGACATAATAACCATGATGAGAAGGTGATTTGCTTCGTAAACTTGTTCTACAATTTCTGATTCTATATCGTTTTGCTCTTCTGTAGCGGGATTGTTCACCCCCCTCCCCCTTTTGTACAGGATATGGAAACAACTATTATAAATGGCAGTGGAACAGAAACTGGACAGGTTATTACTACGACGGTGGGGGGTAGAGATGGAAAGCCAAAGCAGGTGATTCAACTTATCAACTTAATTCTGGTTTACCCAATTCCAGAGATTTTCATTTTTGTGCTCCTCTTTCTGTTCATCTGTATTATCCTTTATCTTCATTTTGTATGTGATTATCCTAACACAATGTTGTGTTGAATGTTTTAGACAATCTCTTACATGGCCCAACGCGTGGTTGGAACCGGCTCATTTGGAGTTGTCTTTCAGGTAGACGGGTATCTCACGACAGAAGAGAATGCAACTTTTGACCTCTTCATTTCCAGAATCTGATTTCTTGTCTGCCAATTCGATTCACAATGTAGGCAAAGTGCCTAGAAACTGGAGAACAGGTTGCAATCAAGAAGGTCCTGCAGGATAAAAGATACAAAAACAGAGAACTCCAGATAATGCGCGTGCTAGACCATCCTAACGTAGTGCGACTGAGGCACTCATTCCTTTCAACGACAGAGAAGGATGAACTGTATCTCAACCTTGTACTTGAGTATGTGCCAGAAACTGTATACCGAGCTTCAAAGCACTATACCAAAATGAATCAACATATGCCTATTATCTATGTTCAACTCTACACATATCAGGTGAGGTTTACGAAATTTTCCAATCTTTGACTAGCCTGTGTAGCACTATGGTCTTGTGATACACAGCATTGTTACCAATTCCTCGATGTTGATTTTGTTGGTTTTTTATGCTATTTGATATGTAACAGATTTGTCGCGCACTGAACTACTTGCATCGTGTAGTTGGGGTGTGTCATCGTGACATCAAGCCACAAAATCTACTGGTAGGGTGTTGACTTTTGATGTCTGTTCTTTCTCTTGAGCTCTATTAGAAACGTTACGTTATAAGACATGTTACTGGACAAGGTGTTGACTTTGGGTTATGGTGTATATTGTTTCAGGTGAGTCCCCAAACTCATCAGCTAAAAATATGCGATTTTGGAAGCGCAAAGATGTTGGTAGGTTATTTTCTGAATGTGTTTGTTCCAAGAGCCATCTTTGTTTGTACGTGAATACTGATGCTCATGTTCAGGTGCCAGGCGAACCCAACATATCATATATATGCTCTCGGTACTATAGAGCCCCTGAACTTATATTTGGAGCAACAGAGTATACAAATGCCATTGACACGTGGTCTGTTGGTTGCGTTATGGCAGAGCTTTTACTTGGCCAAGTGAGTTAATCTCTCTCATGAAGTTCTTGTGCAAGTTTGTGGTGAAAATTAGTTTTTGTTTATATCACTTTTCTATGCTCTAGAAACATAGTGTCAAATCTGACTTTGACTGTTGATGTTCTTTTATGTGTAGCCACTGTTTCCCGGAGAAAGTGGAATCGATCAGCTGGTGGAGATAATCAAGGTACGTTATTTGTTGCACTTGAGTTCTTTTTTTGTTCCTCCTCTTAATCCGTATTTTATGGTTATGTTAAGTCATCTGGGCATATATTAGATTCTTGGAACGCCTACCAGAGAAGAAATACGGTGCATGAACCCAAATTACACCGAATTCAAGTTTCCCCAAATTAAGGCCCACCCATGGCACAAGGTTCGTGAAGCAATCTTGCAATTTTCCTTTTTCGTATGTGCATTTGCAGTGTTTGTCAGAACTTGACGTGAAATCTAACTCATCACAATTAAGTTCAGATTTTCCATAAGAGAATGCCTCCTGAAGCTGTGGATCTGGTCTCAAGATTCCTCCAATATTCACCAAACCTTAGATGCACTGCTGTAAGACTATAGGCACCCTCATTGATACAAGAGATTCCGTAGCATACAAAACTGTTTCTTAACTTGGATTCTGTCTTTCAACAGTTGGAAGCATGTGCTCATCCCTTCTTTGACGACCTACGAGATCCGAACGCCTCTTTGCCAAATGGGCGAGCACTGCCTTCATTGTTCAACTTTACCACCCAAGGTCAACCTCATATCTCTCAATCGAGTGATGTGATTCCAGATCAATTGATCAAAACATCTTTTGACTATTTGGATATTGAGAACAACTATGTGTCTCTCTGCAGAACTGGCAGGTGCATCTGCAGAGTTGCGACAACGTCTCGTACCGTTACATGCCGTGGAATAATGAAAGAAGAAAACCAGACAACAGAAAGGGACTGATGATACTGTCCTACATTCACATTCGAAATAGTAGCTCTCTAGTGTTTGATAGTGTTTCCACTTGTTGTGAGATCTGTCTCCGCTTAGGCTGTGTTCATCAATCAATTTTGGAACAACGGTGCTTTCTTGGCTGCTTCCTGTCCTCAAGCTTGCTGGAGGAGAGGCCCTAAACCCTTTTCTGAAGCCCAAAACAGAGGAAGAAATGGTAGGGAAAACAAATAAAGATATTGATGGGTTTTTTTTCTTTCTTCCGGATGGTTTCCCTTAAATGTGTTGTGTAATGTAGCATGTCGATGTTTGTAATGCCTGGTGATCTCATGTACACTTGAGTCTGCCAGTTGTTTTTTTCCTTTTAAAAGGACTCTTTTCTCTCACGTTTGCACTTCACTTCATCGGGGTTCCTTTTGTGTGTGGCTACCAATGTTTTCTTCCCTTTTTTTTTGATGCGTCGCAGTGCCCGTATAATCTATTTTTTGATAATCCGGAAGTTCATCAGGTCTTTGGTTTGGTCCGACTATATCTCCCAGAAGATCGGAAAAGTACAGGTAAATGTTTCTCTCCACGCTTGGGTTTGAACCCAGGATAATGTTATGTTCTGTCGCCACTAGACCACCCAAGTTTGGGTGGATTCACAAAAACTTGCATATGTGAGATAGTTATATCTCAGGCAGTGCAACGATGATCAAAACATAAAAATGATTAGGGGAATAAACTCAAATGGGTTTAAAAACTGAGCAAGTTCCATGGCAGATTGAGAGCGTTGCTATCAAAATGGAAAAAGGAGCAGGTGAAGAAGAAGAAGAAGGGGGGTTTTCCTCACATGGTTCACAAATGAAGAGCTTGGTAGTGCTCCTTCTCGTAGTCATCCATGGGCGTACCGGCATATGTGGCCGTTGCTGTGAAACACCATCAAAGCCTTTCTCAACTGTATGATCATCAAACCAATGCCGCAATCATTCCCCACTCTCTCGGTGAACACTACGAGCGTGTTCTACTATATATTGATCCTCTCAATCTTCACTTCCAAGACAAACATAATACACGAGAAAGCCCAAGCAACTCGGCAGACTTCACGGCCATGATTAGCGCCGTCTCCTCCGTGTCCATGCTCAGCCCCTTCCCACGGTTCCTTGATCGGTCCAACACATCTTTCCCAGATTCAGATTCGTAGCAGAAACGAAAACAGCAAAAGGAAACCCTAGTAGCTGCGAGTCGCAATAACGAACGCAGAGGTGAGAAGATCGAGAGCCTTTCTTCGGTGGCCGAGAGAGGGAAAGTGAAGGCCGTTGGTGTCGAGTATGGAAAGAG